TAAGCTTTCGTGGACTTCAGCATCCGAAGAAGTGGGCTGTAGTCCACGAAAGCTTATGCTCTAATAAATTTGTTAGTCTCTAAGGTGCCACAAGTACTCCTGTTCTTTTTATGTTCAGTAGGCTTTACCCGCAACCGAAGTGTAAAGCCAGGCATTATTGGTCTTCCCACAGAACTTTACAAAATGTAAAGAGGATCTATGCAAAAGAATTGTGAATATATTACAATTGTAAATTCAGAAATTCACACTGTATTAATTGTTAGTTATATACATTACAATTTAAATTATAAATTGTAATATATGGGTCAGACAAAACTTGAATTTCTTGAACTATTTGAAATTCGCACATCAAATGAAGAAATCTGTAAATAATTACGAACATGACAGAATTTTGTAATTTGTCTGTGGATGGATTTTCAAATGGGAACAATGAAATGTATCAAATACATTATTTATTGTGAAATGTTCAGTCATCACTAAGAGCTAATGCAGTTAGATCACTTTTAAATTCAATTAAAACATAAACTAAAACCCTGAGAAATGTACTTAAAATCTAGGCGGGGGGGAGGAATCACTGACATTTTTGTTTGAGACGAGGGCACTATATGGTCATTTTGCCTTGTAGCAGCGTTTTAACATTTCTTACAAGCACAGACATTTGCTCACCCAAAATCATGTGCCCAGGATTAATCTTTGATTTAAGAGAGAAACTTGACAACACTTCCTCATCTTGTTTAATTGAAAAAGTAATTATTTCAAATTTTAAAAACAAATTTCATTTCCCCATGGAGACTAACACTGTTCATTTTTACCTTCTGTTTTTCTCTCCAATAAGAACATTTGGGGCATGACTAGTGGAACATCACACTGTGTGAACCTCAAATGTGTATGCCCTTTGTCCAGTTGATCATCACTTTATTTTTTTATTGAAACAAGATACAGTAAACTTTAAAAATATGCAGCTGCATCCTCTACAAATAGTCTGAGTGTTGTCTTGAACAGCTATAACCGGCTTGTGATTTCAACCCGAGATGGGCTGTCATCTCATGTGGTATCTGGGAGAGGGAGAAGCAATATGGGCAATATGTACTTCCCCTGGGTAAGATTCAGTGTGCAGAACCACTCTACACTATTGCAGTAACAAAAGGAAACAACCTCCTTTTCACTCTCCCCGGGCTCCTGCCATTTGGAGCCCAGTGAAAGAGAGAAATAGGACAAGAGGTTTCTCTCTTTCCATTCTCCCTCAAGCATGCAGCCACTTGGAAAAGAGAGCTTCATAGCAACAATAGGCAGTTTCTCACAAGGGCCAGATAACAGCCTTGCAGCATGCAAGCAGTACAGAGCAGCTGCCCTGGGGAGCTCCAGAGAAGAAAGGGCCTTGGAGCAAGAGCCAACAGCAGAAAGAACCAGAGACATTAATTCAGCTCAATAAACCAACTGAATCACAATGTCGAATGATCCCTAGCCCTTACACAGGTGAATGGAGGAAGCATGGAAGGATTGGTTATTCAAATATCTTTTCAAATACTTTACAGTGCTTGACTGTAAAGATTCCAAATTTGAGCTGTGTGGCTTGCTTGTGACTGGTGAAACGGGGAACGGAAACAATGGCACATGATCTAAGCAGATTAGCATGCATGCACTATTGGCACTCACAGGCGTGACTATCATTTTGCTTAACTGGAATCAAACCCAGGACCAACAAAGTTATGAGCATAAGCCTCTAGCTTAAGCTACAGGGTTGAATCACCTCAGTGGTAGCTGTAGCAGCCTCAGTCTCTATGGGTCAGACACAAGCGGGGATGCAGCAAGGCATACACTGAAAGTGGTTTACACATGCTTGCTTAAACTTTAATGTCTGCAAATTCTCGTGCTTGGAACTTTGAAATTCATTTTCTGCCAGTAAAACTAACATTTCCAGGTAATGCAAACACAAAGAGGCACAAGCACAGTTCTATTTATTGGCCCGGGTCTACTTTGTTGGCCCTATTATTCTGACATAGTGCCCATGGAAACTGCTATTAAAAGAAAACTGCAGTAAATCAAAATCTTTTTTGTTCCTGATCCCACTAACAAGAGTTTAACAACTAAATTCTGCTTCAGCAGAGGGTTTATTTTTAAATAAACCTCCTAAAACTGTAAGTTTGGAGCATCATTCCCTTATTTTCCACAGTGCTTTAATCAACTCATTATAGGTATTGTGTGACCTAGAGAAGGAGAGAATCTCTATAACCAGTCATCATGGGTTTCCAGATTCCACCCTTTGTTGTTCTTGCACAACAACAATCTGCCCAAAGCAGGCTGGACTGGTGCAAATCGGATAGGTCTTGTACTGAATGTTGACACAACAAAATGCACAATGAAGAGGTAGGCAATGGTATATAATTCCCTTGCACTCCCAGTTATTACAAAGTCACAACAGACCCAAACATCAGCATGACCAGCCAGTCCCAGGGAATCCAGCAGCTTTTACAGGCAGAAAAACGTGCCAAAGACAAACTAGAAGAAGCCAAAAAGAGTAAGTATCTGGCCTGGGTTTATTGTATTTTCCCGCTGAATACTCATTAGATAAAAACCGCAGTATTTATTTTTAAATGTTGGGTTCTTTTTCCTGGCCAACGCAGCTGAGCTGCCCTGGAAGGTATTGCAATTTGCTGCTGGTTTAGCCCAGATGCAAATTACTATCCCCCAGAGCAAATGGGAAGCAGGAAAGGTATTGTACCTGTCAGCGCCACTATCTAGCCCTAAATGAAGTCAATGTGAGTTTTGCCAGAGTTAGGCCCTTAGTTATGATAACTTAAAGCTTGTGGCTGCTTACTTTTGATTTGGAGGAATTTTTTTAAAAGTTAGTCAGCCAAAGGAACATTTCCAAATCAGGAACCTAGATAATTGATAAGCATAATTATATACATGCACTTAAACTGTGCCCATACTTAATCAGGACCTAAGATGCCAGGTGCACTTATTCTGCTGTGCATGAACATACATTCCTACTGTCATCACCTCAACCACTGCCACACCACATGGGATATTCGCAGAGCCTTTTTAGCTTAAAACACCTTCCAAACCCCTTGGAGCCAGAAACTGACATCAGAAAGCTAAGTGCTTCTGACAGTGCTGAGGCACTGGGATTAGCGTTAGAGTCTGGAAATACAGAAACCCAGCTATTGTTTTGTCAAAGTTACAAAACATGTATATTGATCAAGTACCTGCTTCATCTATATTATTTTTAAGCAAATTATGTTTGTCTCCTCTTTAAGAATTATTGGTGAAGAGGAAACAACTAGAACCTGTCCCTGACATGAACTATTTTATTATTTAGTATCAGAAACAGGGCAAAAGATAAGACCTTTCTCTAAAAAGGACAAATTTGAAGTACCAGATTCACTCACAATCTAAAGAAATGGGACAGATTTTTGTCTGTATGCTAAATATTGCAATCTGTGCCTATTAGTGTAAATGACAAAACTCTCAATGACTTAAATGCAAGTAAGGTCAGGCCTTAGCAAGATTCCCATTTGGGATTTCTAAAATCTAGTTTACAAAGCGATTGTGTACCAGGATTTCTAAGATCTAGTTTGCAAAGCGATTGTGTACCCGTATGGTCATTTTGGTTAGGAGGATGCTTTTTTTACTGTAATAATTAAACTGGGACAGCCCCTAGTGTGCACACAGTATAACTGGTGCTTTATATTAGTATAACATAGTCTCCTTCCCTTACAGGAATAGCTATAGTAGTGTAGGTATAGTCTACAGTAGAAAAGGTTGCTCTATTAGTGTAGCAATACCAGAAAAACTTCCTAATATAGACACAGTTTTTACCAGCAAAAATGTGCTTTTGGCAACGGTTTCTAGCAGGTACCCAAACAAAATAAGGTAAACCAGCAATCAAATTATTTTGCCAATATAGCTGCATCTACACTAGGGCTTTTGCTGGTATAACAGTGGTCTATCCATGGTATTTTCAGAATTCTTCTATGAACCATAATTTAAAGCATTATAGTTTTTTATTCATTGTTTGAATGTCCAGGTTTCATAGCAGTAATTTAACACAGACCAGATATACTAGTCTAAATCCAGAATAATTTCAACAACTTCAAAAGAATCACTCTGGATTTAGACCTATGTAAATGACAGCAGAATTTGACTTATGGTTTGAAAGAAATAAAATAGAATGTAAACAAAAAACCCAAATATTTCTGAAACAGTCATTTAAAAATACTAATGTATCTGTTATAATGATCACTTAACAGGTAACCTGTGCACATAGTCATTTGTAAAGCAAATCAAGCATATTCTGTTTCAATTCAGAAAACACCAGCTCTAAGCCAATTTGTACCAGTTAACATCAGAAGATCCTGCTCACAGGTTGGCAATCAGCAAATCTTAGTTTAAAGTAAAACAATGAACTTGTCCTATCTGTTCTAATGCAACCCTTTCTATGTTAACTGTAAATATGACCTACATTGAAAAACAGCTGTTGTGCAACTGCGCCAGTGGATTTTGCAAAGGGGATAAACAAATGTCCTCTGGAGCCTAGAATGAGACTACCAACGCATTGCATACATCCCAGAAACAACCTTTGAACCCAAATCTCCCTTTAAAATTCTGCCATCTTGTCTCCCCTATTTTCACTAATAATTACCCAGCTCTCAAAAATAAACATGCATTGTCAGAGCAGGGATGTCAGTCCACCAAGGCTCCTTTTGGACAAAACAAGAGAGGAAAAAAACACTAATAGAAATAAGTTTTTAAAAACAAATGATGTATTTGGCCTTTTCTTGGTTAATATCTGGTATATATTTCATGTAATATAAAAACTGCAAATACTGATCCACTAACCTATATTACATTTTTATAAAGTGCGGCATATCCTCCTCAAAATGAGTATTCCAAATACCTACATAACAATTTAATGTGGTCTTGAAACTAAAATGTTCTATTTTTTTTTTTAAGAATGACATTTTAGTGCTTGGCAAATTACAATCATGTCATTCACGTGTAGAAACTTACCAGAGAATCCTCAATTATGTATTTGAAATTTCAAAGCCTATTTGAGCAAGGCAGCTTTAGTTGAATGGAAAGTAAGATACAATTTTTTTTTTTGGATTAAAGTAAAATGTGGCATTTGCAGAAATGACCAACTTACCATGATTTAATTTTTATGCATGACCTCACAAATCTGCAGCAGTCCTAAAAATCTCATCAATACTTTACTAATCAAGGCTAGTATATTACTATTAAAGAACTACTGCACCAAGAGTACATTTTTTTCCTGATGCTATTTAACAATACTTTCCAGCTGAATAGAGGAAATGAAGACTAATAAAGGGCTACCGAATCACAACAGGTGAAACTGCAGCCTGGTCAGCATGATGGCAGTGCAGTGGGGTGAGAGCCCCCTCTCGGCACCACCTTTCAGGGGATGGGAGCATCACAGATGGTGAAGCAGCTTCAGCAGAACTGCTATGTCCCTTCCCATACAGGTGGATGAGAGGTGGTGGGGAGTGGGCAGAGCCAGTGCTCTGTTCTGCTGCCTATGCTCCCCTCCCCCCAGTAAATGTGCCCTTTCAATTAAATTCTCTTGGTGGAAGATCTGTTTGTTGTTGCTGAAGCTGGTGGCCATGGTTTTTGGTCAAAACTTCAGGTCAGCATAATTATACATTTACACACACACACACACACCATGTCAAAATTATTTTCTCTATATTCATTGATTATTTTTGCCCCTCCTGAAATGAATATAGCAAATCTCTCTTTGTCATCAAGTTGGCCTCCCTGCCTTCAGCTATCTCTAGCTGACGCTTCTCAGTAGTCTTGACTGAATTTCAGTTTTGTGCCACCACGAAACATGTAGGACCAGAACCACTGACTTGAGCAGAGCTATATTGATTTGCATCAGACGAGCATCTGACCCATAAAATCACTGTATCCCTGAACAATAGGCCTAACTTTGAAAAGCAAGACTTGTTGTGCAGATAGGGTAGCAGACAAGAGTTTATGTTAGACAAACTGATTCATTAATTTTCGCTTGCCTCTAGTGAAACAGTAGGTTTAGATATAGTTAATACTTAATTAAATCAGGTGCAGTATATGCACTATCACATACAGAGGCAGCAATGTACACTAGCAGCAATTTACCCGCAGCTCTTCCAAAACAAAGTCACTGGTGTGCCATGACCAATGGTATCATGGAGAAACTAAATGGCTGCCACTGTTAAGTGACAACCAGTGTGTGGCAGCAGATACGGTATATCTTACACATCTTACTAGAACACAGTAAAAAAAATCTCCGTTTTTTTTTCTTCATCAGATTAATTACCAAAACCAAAGAAATCCAATTTTGTAATGTGTCTTAGTTTATTTAATATGGGGTCAGGAGCTATTGTTTGTGACCAAATGTGTAACAAATGTACTAGAGATGGGCCCCAGCTGGAACCCCAAATTTGAAACTCCCCCAGACTTAAGGGTAGCTTAGTTTGTTCTTGAGATCCAAACCCAGATTGTGAGTGATGTACATCAGCACAGCTCCCATCAAAGTCAATTGGAGTTCTGCAGGTTTACATCTGCTGAGAACTTGGCACCCTCATTTAATTATTAAGGGGTAGCTCTATAAAGCTTTAACTGGAAACCCAGATCTGAAGACCTTCAAATTTAGAGGGGTTGTGTTTCAAAATAAAGACCCAACCCCAGCTCCAAATTCTGTTGCTCAGGCCAATCTCAAGCATTTACATGAGTCATTCAGTCCATGCTTACTGCGTCTGGATATTTGGAGCAGTAACAGAACCTGATGTAGCAAGGTCTGATTCAAGAAATACAACCTGTGGAAAAGAATATACTTTAATCTTAAATGGGTAAAAAAATGTCCATCCTCTGCCCTTCTCTACAAACTCCTAGCAATTTCCAGTGACATGTGGACTCTGACAAGTGTAATTAAGTAAACGGAAAAACATTCCACAAGATGGGCTGATGTTCAGTAAATCCACCATGTTATACATTGTGTATTGCTCCTTTTGTATAAAGGCTTTCTATAATCACACCTGATCTCTCCTTGAATCCTACAATAAGCACATTCAGTGAGTCAAGTAGCCCATAAATCAATACGAAGCTTTAAAAGGAATTTAGTGTGTTTGGTATTTCTCTGCTTCTAAATCTATTCACTGAAATGCTGGTAGTGACTTGGGACTGGCCTGCCCACTGAGCAGATAATTTACCCTGGATCAGTCATTTATATTTAGAATTTTCTTGAGTTACAGACCCATTAAAAGCACTTTTTCTGGAAAACTTCAGATTAGTTTTTGAGCTATGCTTAGGAGAGTTATATTCCTCTGTTACATCTGATATGGCTTCATATGTACAGAACAACTGAAACAAATCCACGGTAGCATGCTGAAAAACAGAAGAAATGAACAATTGCCTCAAGCCTGATGCTGTTTTCTGAACTGAATTATGTACCAAAAGTGGATAGTTAGGACCTCAATGTATTCTTACTGACACCAGTTTTACAACAGTGATTTCAATGGAGTTACTCTGATTTACACTGCTGCAACTGACATTAGAATCAGGCCTTTAGTGTCTAGCAGACTGTGAAAAAATGGCATTTAAGGATTACATGCAGGGGAATTTTAATAGGCTAGATTCAAAATGTGGCACATATCTTGGCAAGTTTCACTGTAAGAGCAGATTAAAGCTTATCAAAACACTTAATAATGTATAAAGGCCTGGCATATTTAAGGGTAGTGGGGGAGGGGTTGTGGGATTGGCTGGTTTTATCTTAGAAATATAAGGAACATCAACTCTTAGCGCTCTGCTTTTGCTGGAGAACTTTTCCGGGAGTTTCAGAAAAGGAATTTTTTTTAACTTTCACACTTTAATTGAAGGAGTGTGCGTGTGATGAACCTTTTGCTCCAAAGCATTAATAAGTGTAAAGTTGTGAATAGGTGTAACCAAAAAAAAAAAAAGATCTTTTAAACAGACTAAGACTTGCTTTCTTAAATGCCCAACGTTCACTCCCATGGCTCTTGGGTGTGTGTGAACAAATGATTTTTTGGATCATTAACTGAAACAAAAATTGAAAATAAATTGGTTCAAGTCAACCCAAAACAAATATTTCTGGCAAACTGAAAAAGTAAAAAATATATCATTTTTGCTCAGCCTGAAATAAAATACTTAATTTGAGTGGCTTTTACCTATTTTAAATAAAGCTGAAGTAAAATTTCAAATTTAATGACATTTAAAATAAAAATCTAAACATTTTGTTTTGAAAACATCAACATGAAATGTTTCAATTTTTTTGGATTTTTTTTTTGACCAAAACAATCCAGCAAATTTTATGCAAATTCACAAAATGTTTTGGTTGACCAGAATCTACAATTTTTGGCACACACACACACACACACACACACACACACACACACTAAGTTTCATCTGAAAAATGTCATCGTGCTTTGCTTGCGATATCATCATTTCATTAATTCATAAATCATCATAGAGTCTTCCAGGCATGACAAGACCAAATATAAAAACAAAAAAGACAAACCCATTTCTTTTTCCCATTGGAGATCAGCTTTAGATCTAGCATTTTATAGCTCCCTCCAGGGGAGCAATTTTTATAGTGGGGGTGCTGAGAGCCATTGAACCAAACTGTAAACCACCAGCACCCCTAGTTCCAGCAACTATGGTTCCCTCAGCTGAAAAGTGCTGGTTTCCCACAAAGTAGTTCGTGGAGAATTTGTAGGATCCCGTAGGGATTAGGGGTATTTTGCCAAAATCCTATAAAACAAATACACATATAAACATCAAATTCCAGCAGTTATCACAAGTTCACCACTTGTTTCATGTTCCAATTCCATAAGCAACATATTTCTACTAATTTTTTCTCTTTCCTCCTACACCTAGCATCCCATCAGACCCAGGAGTTACATATATCATATCCAACTCTGCAATGATTTTACATGCTGTGAGTACTCATTGACATCAATGGGACTGCTCACAGTGTGTAAAGTTAAGCATGTGCATAAGTCATTTCAGAATCAGGGCCTTAGTCTTTATTACAGCCTAAGGGCCACTTAGCATAATACAGTAAAAGCTGTGTTCTCCATCACTTTATCAACCAGAAAGCTCTATTAACTGGCATTTCTGATATCTCCCCATACAAAGACTCAATCTAGTAACCAGGACTAGTATATTGCCCAGGAGGTTATGAAAGTGCACATTCTGCATTCTACTTTTATGCAAAAGAGGCAGAAGACAAGTAAGCAAGTTGGTATCAGGGATTTATTCAAAAAAGCAGCTTCCAGGATGTGTCATAGGGTCATTAGATATTTCGGCCCAATCTCCTACACCTTCTACATCTACAGTGATAATTGATGTTGATAATGATGACCCTGAGGAACTGCAAGATCCTGGAGTGCTTTCTGAATCATCAAAGAAAGATTAAATTATGTTCAGTATAGTTTTAATGTTAAGTGTACTTTTAGTGATCTGGGTGTATGCCATGCACTTCCCATAGTGATATGTAGTGTCAGAAGATAACCTACTGTATAGAAAACTTTACCCGTATACACCTCAGTGCTTCAAGAAACCAAGCACTCTGCAGTGCAGTACTACTACTGGATTGGTAAGTACCGGTATACTATTTAATACTTGATTCATTTTATTGTATTCTAATTCTTTGAAAATTGGTATTCCATTGGTAAGTATAACTCTTAGCTAACCGTACTTTCCCCTCCCCCACCCATTCCTAACATTCCAGATAACAAAGATTTTACTGTAATAAATAAATAAATAAATACATACAATCTTGATTTTGCCATCACTTTCATGTTTCCACACATTAGTGCACAAAAGCTGCTTTGATATCCTCTGTGTCTTAATCACCCACCTGTGCATTTTACAAATTGAAAGGGGGCCGGGCAATACAATGTAAATGTTGCAACTTAGTTTGCTAGTGGCTGAGCTGTATCTTCAAAGTGCCTTGAAAATTTGCCAGCATTAAATAGAATCCAGTTGGTGTGGACTGAAGGGTTCCTGGCAGCAAATCAATACAGAAAATCTTACAGAATAATGTCTCTTCCAATCAGTGACAACTCAAACCTGTTCTCTGGTTGCTACTGTTGCCAATTAAACAAAGATAAGTATTTTATTTAAACATGAAGCAGTGATAAGAAATTGTCATTTATGTTGTGATAAAGAACTCAGTTGAAAATGCCGTATGCTATATTGTTGACAAACCTACACATTTTTTATGATTGTTGTGTACTTGTGGATAAGAAGGGCCTGATATCATAAATTGGGCACTTTAGTGACTTAGGAGCACAAGTTCTATTGACTTTCAATGGAACTTGTGTTCCCTAAATCATTTAGGCCCCCTTGAAAATCTTACCAGTAATCCACATGCAATCAAAATTCTCAAGTACTTTACTGGGGATTCAGTACATGGAATATTATGCTGTGTAGAGACAACCATCTCTTCAGGCACAATGCTAATTTCAAAGTAATCCTATGTTTCCTCTCTCTGTCCAGGAAAGGGAAAGAGATTGAAGCAAGCCAAAGAAGAAGCCATAGCAGAGATAGACCACTATAGGTTACAGAGGGAGAGGGAATTCAGGCACAAACAATCTAATGTAAGTAAGAAGCTTACATACATATTTCACAGAGGGTCTGATTCAATGTCCATGGAAGTCAATAGAGAAGGGGAGGAAATGATTCAGTAAGCATTGTATTAAGTCCTTACTGTAGATCCTTTGTGTACGGTACACTATCAGCTGGCCAACAATTCATAATGACTAAATTTACTTATTCATTGAAAATATTAGCAATGGGGCTGGACTGCAAAGTTTGGCTCTTTTCACAGACTTCAGGGACTTTTGGATCTGGGACTTTGGACCTAAACCTTTCTAAAATTCAGGACTGTTCAGATTCTGGGGATCATTCAGGCCCATCCCTTGGGAAATACCGTATATACTCGTTCATAAGCCGATTTTTTTTAATAAAAAAAGGGAAGCATCAGAAAAGGGGGTCGGCTTATGAACGGGTATAGAGAGAGAGAGGTGGGACACAGCCCCTCTCCGCAACAGAGGGAGCAAGGAGAGGCACCACAGCCAGTAGAGCCAGAACGGAAGAGGCAGGGCCAGAGTCTCTCCGCTTCTGGCCACGCTGCTCTCCCCCCAGCCTCTGAAGCAGCTGCAGCTCCGGGGCTGGCAGGCTGCAGCCGTGCCACTCGGTCCTGCCCCCCAGAGCAGGCTGTGGCTGCGCTGCCTGGCCTGCCAGAGCACGCTGCATCCGTGCTGCCCGGCCCAGCCCGCTGGAACATGCTGCGGCCGCACCGCCCGGTCTGGCCCACCAGAGCAGGCTGCAGCCGCGCTGCCCAGCCTGCTGGAGCAGCTCCAGCCAGGCCAGAAACATCCTCCCCTGGCCCTCTCCAGTTAAGGTGGGAAGGAATGGGATGGGGAGAGTGTGGGGGTCCCGGGCTAGGGGTTGGGTCATGTGGGGCGGTGGTCACAAAGGTTACTCCCCTGACCCCCAGCTTTCCTCCCTAAAAAATGTCCCCACCAGTTGCTGTCTTGGCCCATCAAGGTAAGCAGCTGGCGTGCCGGGACACTTTGTTTACTTAGGTTTACCTCCGTGCCTGCGGACGCTCGAGGTGAAGAAACCATCCTAATGGCCTGGGAGCCAAAGTTTGCTGACCCCTGAATTATAGGGTCGGCTTATGAACGGGTCATAAAAATTTTCCATTTTTACGTATCCATCTTGGGGAGGTCGGCTTATAAGTGAACCAGCTTATGATCAAGTATATACATATAATGCACATATTTTTTAAAAAGTGCCTTCAGTTTCTCTTTTATAATGCCAGGCAGATTTTCTATTAACCTCGGAGCAGAAGCTGGAGTAAGGTACAATTTTGGTTGCTAACTAATATACAAAGAGTTGAAGCTGCAGTGACTTATTGATGTCAATGGGGACCTTTCCACTGACTTCAGAAGGCTTTGGGTCAAGCCCTTTGAAAAGCTGTTGTGTTTATTTATTTATAGTGTTGGACAAAATTTTACAGGCAGAACTTTTTTCAGTAAAAAATGCAGATTCGGCAATACCACAATGTTTTACAAGTTTGTGTTTATGTTATCAAAGTTTGGTTGCAAAAAACAAAACAAAACAAAAAACAGAATTCTGATCAAATGTGAACATTTTGTTTTGGAAAATTTTTGGTTTGAAATGACTTTTCATTGCAACATTTCCTTAATTTGTTTATATACATAAAAATCCAAAATGATCTTTCTTTTAACTTTTTGATTCACCAAAAAGTTGAAAAATTTTCATTTTTGGTCCAAGCCAAACAATATTTTTTTTACTTTTTAAACGGTCAGTGAAATGAAAAATCTATTCTTTATCTAGGTTCTGATAATTTAATCTTAGCTTCCAACTATGCACACAGCAACATCTGTTCAAAACTGATTTTTTTCATTACATTTTTCAGAGTAAAACAGTAATCTGGCTGGCATTTTTGCACCTGAATTTCTGAAGTTTAGTAAATTTTAGATATTCCATCATTTTGCAATTTTCTTTGCTGTTTTCATGAAGGGGTATCACAAACTATTCTCTTTGCTTTACCGGACTTCCTTTTTTGTCTGATTCCGTGTAAAGCTACAACAGCTGAATGGGGCAGGGAGGAGGAGAAGAAGTCAAATTTATCAGCTTGTCACTTCAGCCAGAGTGTCAGCTCCAAGAGATAATGTCACAGTAAAGCAGGCAGACTTGTACTGCACATACTATTTCAGATTTTTACTGATAATTTAAAAAAAAGGTAAAATATCTTTCAGATGTGTTCACCTTCAAGCCAGAATGAGAGAGTCTGTCGTCTGATGTCTGAAACAGCAAAGGAGAAAGAAATTTCTCTGTGCATCACTTTGAGCACAATTTTTTCATTACACCCACAATTAGCACATTGAGTTAATATTGTAGATTGTGGAGTGAAGCAGTTTACACAAGAAGCCAAGAGCACATACGGCTCTTCCAATGCCAGCATGTTGTAAACAATCATTACAGCTCTCCTTCACTTTCCCTGACCCCATTATGTCGGACATTTGTCTGTCCCAGAAGAATGACAACATTATTAACCCAAGCCTGGAGGGCAGTAAGGAGGTCAGTGCCAGAGCAGTGGTCACTAACTAGTTCATTGTGCTGGCTCATGTATTCCTATGCAAACATTTATAATTCCACAGTTATTACAGCCACATTTAAAGTTACCATTGTACTTAGCATCTTGAATGTGGCTCATTAGAGACATGTTGGACTAAATTCTGTGCTGACTCACACCCCAGCCACAACATATTAGATCATAATAAATAATAACAGTAAACAACAATTAGTGTTGAATAAGAGTGATAATTGCTAATATCCACTTTAGCAGTGTGCAAAATTTGAGCACAGATCTGGATCCAAAATTTGCCAAACGGGCCTATCTTTGTTATCTTTGTAACAGACTAAATCAACTCTCTCCCACGGATTCTAACTTTGGGGTGTACAAAATCCATTGCTGAATTTTGAGACTCTCTCTCATAGTGAAATAATACTATGGCCTTTCCACATGAGGATCTCCAAGAGCTTGATAAACATGAATAAATTAAGCCTAAGAAATGGGGTGTAAATAAGTGCATAATTTACCTGGTTAATTTAAACTACAATGAACGGGTTGCACAACATCCTTAAGGTATGGCACCTACCTATGGAGGTACAAGGCCTGATGCTGATCTCATTCATACCAGACGAAAGATTAGAAGCAACACTATGGAAGTCATTGGTCTGACACTGGTGTAAAATCCTCAAAGTCAAAACAGATCATAACTTAAATACAATATCGAATGAAGTTCAATAATATGAAGGGCTTGGAACTCAGTAGCAGAAAAGAAAGAACATGAAAAAATCCAGGCAGAAATTCAATTATTAATTAACTTAAAATACTGTATTTTTTTCCTATGGTGTGAATTAAGGGGGAGGGGTCCCTGGTGTGGAGGAGGCTCCACCTAAGCGTGTAGTAATGCTCTTGAGCATTTTCCATGGGGTTGGTTTGGAGACAACATCTAGCTACTCTGAATCTGCAGAAAGTTCTCTCTATGGAGATGGCTCATTATGTGGAAGGAGTCAGATCTTTCCCAAGTAAAGGCCCTCAGGGTTTGGCCCAAAGTTAAGATACATATAATGCTAATTAATATCCTCAGAAAAATAATTATTACAGATAATAATAATGCCTTTAAAATTTTATGTTTCCTTTTATTTCTCTCAAACTAGCAAAAGTTTTAATTCTATATTATGGAACAATTGCTTACTAGATGCTACTTAGAAAATGAATATAATTTCAATGGAAATCCTTCTAAAGGAGAATCTTAATTCATTCACCTTGTCATCTTTGAAGGTAAAATTGGGCTGAAGTCACAAGGAAAATGAATTTAGTGATATTAGGGGAGCGGCAAGAGACCACTGATTTGGTTGACTTCATATACCCTCTACACACGCATAACATGCATCATTTGAAAGCTTATTATGTCTACTTTAAGATGAGATATGATGTGGACCTGTCAAGTGGTGCTATTACCATAGAAATGAGAAAAAACAATGACACTATCAACACGTTAAAATGACCACTTTGAAATATTTGCATTTGTTTCTGGTAGTTTAATGACTCCATGTACTATTTCAAACATAAAATCAGAATTCTTTGTGACCTCAAATCATCACAATACCAATCTAAAGGGTAAAACAAAATGTAATAATAAATTTGTATAGAGCATTCAGGGCCTCAAATGCAAAAATCACAAGCCGTAGAACAGAGCTGAATTGCTTACCTGCAAACATTTGATTTGCAGTATAAGCTGCATACACATCAGCATCAACAAGAAGCTCTAGAAATCCTGCATCTCCCCAGAATTTCCCAATACATGCTATAAAACAGCACAGAGTACAAATCATATTGGTACCAAGTTCATTTGAGAAAGTCCATTTCTCTTGTCGAGCAACAGCATACAGCTGCCGATTCTTGGTGTCAATGACATGCTGCTATCCTAGAGTGGCTGACATTTCAGCACTGTAGGACAGACTGGCCCTGGCAGCTGTCTTGGCATCCACAATAGGTGCATATGCAACTGCTGTGTAGGTGCTTTTCTTTGTTGCAAGCTATCAATATCATTTGGTATTGGCAGAACATCACGAGGTAGTAGTCTTAAAGACACCAGGAGAAATCTCGGACAGTGCTCATTGGTAGGTAACAAAAGTTTATTTTCTCAAGTACTTTTTCATGGCAAGTCAGTTCTGGACGTGTTCTAGTTTTTCAAATGCTGCACACTGCATCAGAGACTCTGATTACCCGGGGAGACCAAGTGACTTTTCTTTCCCAGGATTCAGTGAATTTCTCATGATGCTGGACTATCTGCAGTCTGTTCTTGAAATAGCACTCTAGCCACTGAATAGAAGGTATTCTTTCCATCACTGGTCTCTGTGTTGATGTCTATACTATCATCTCCTTCTTGGATGAGATTTCCACCAGCATGAAGTGGTTCAATTCCATTTGGAATGAGCACACTTCCCTGGAGTCTTTCTACTTCAGTTTTTGCAGCATTAGTCATGAATTGCCTTAGCTCACTATAATGGATGCAGAATCCCTGAAGATGTTGTATGTCAATTAAATTGCATGACCCAAACTCATGTGTAGCTGTGTAGCAAGGCTTACGTGTAATGGTGTGATAATTTTGGAACCGTTAACTACTATGCACTGCGCAACTGAGAAGCAACTCCTCTGATGGTCTTCTGAGGTATGACACTCATTGCTGGCTGAGTTATATGCCTTTTTAGTCAGCAACCAAAGGACAAACTCCTGCACTAACTGGGGTACAAATGCAGCTAACCTCTGTAAACTGCAATCACCTGGCTTTGGATAATATGCTGAGGATTTCATTTTGGCTATTTCAGACCGAAGGACTGAAGTAACATTATGCAAAACCACTTGTTCATTTGAAAGCTGTTCATCAGGCTCACTCACCAGAAGAATATCTTTAAAACATTTGGATGACTTAAGTTCCTGCTTCAGATGACTAGCAGCTTAGATACCATCAGCTAATGTCATTGCCCTGCACAGAATGATGGTAGACATGCCTTGTCCATGCTGTGCGTGGAATGAATTTGCAAAACCGCAATGTTGTTTCTAATCTTACCTGTAATTTGGGACTGGAATAGCTTGCAGTTTCTACATCCGAGAGAAGTAGAGCTTTATATCTTTGTAGCAGCTTGGACCGGAGAAGAGCTTTCTTGTTTCACATAAGATCATTGTCTTCTCTTCAATCAGCCGATGAAATGCAGTGTCATAAGTGTAACTAGATGGTTTTGCTTTAAGATTTATTTTACATAGGTAGGAAGAAAGGCATGTTGAGTGATACAGTGCATCCTTAGCAATCAAGGCTTCCACACATAGTCTGTGCAATATGGCATCATCTCCTCTTTGAAGTGCTGCCTCCCTTACACTGGTTGCTCTCTCAAATGTTTCTAATTTACAAAATTTCTTATTTTTCTTGTGTGTTTCTCTCAAGTAAACAATGCACCAGGATCAAACACAGGAGGATGTGCTTGCTCTGGTGGCTATGGAAGCACGTGAACATGATGCTCTCTGCTCAGATTCAGAGTCTGTTTTCTTTCCTGGGTTCAGAACATCCCGGACGTGTGCCAAATTTAACTTGCTTGTGTTTTTCCAAAAGCAGCCTTGATAGCACATTGCCTAAACTAGAAAACTCATCCAGTCGCCAGCAATACAATTCATCTCTCCTGGCTTCTGCTGGCAGCATCACAGAATTCTGTGCAGCACTGGTGGCTTCTGACAGTTTTGCATTCTTTTGATTTTTTTGACAAATAGCACATTTTTCAATGTTTGTGGGAAGTCTTTTTCTCTGACATAAGCTTTAAGGGACTTGTATTCTCCACATCTTCATATATTTCCCTGTGGAGGTAAAATTTCCAAGGTATATTGTTAGTATTATCACAACCACTACCACCATTTCTCATTTGTAGACGTATACAAACATGTGCTAAATTCAATATAGATTAGATCTATGTTAGTATCAAAATTGCCATTTCCATTTAGTGAGCACTTGATTGAAGCCCAGCATGTAGCTGTGTATTGTCATCTCTAACATTAATACTGAGCTGTGAATAATTACATTAAAAAAGCTAGATTCTAGAATATTTCAATGGCTTATACTACATGCATAGGCAATTACAAATTAAAACCTCTACCAAGCAAACTATTTGCTATATTGTATGTACAAAAGCTTATAAATGGAGGAGCATTACATTAGGAATTCACATGCATTTATATCCACCCACTATGCAGTATAAACCATTGGCACATAATCTGCTACTACTGGTGCCCAAACTTCAGCAAGAGACTGACCTTGTCAGCAAATTTCAATTGAAAATATAGGAAACTACTATAATCACTTGTGAGACACTTTGACAATTCAGAATATGAAAAGCAAAAACATTTCATGTAAGTATATTGCAGTATGTTGATATTCACCCTTTTTATCACATGCTAAACAGCATCATCATTTCTGAAAAGAAAAACAAACTTGGCCATGCAAAACCAATATATATTTTTAATACATTGTCATTTGCTAGCTTTGACCAATAAACAACACATTGAGGTGTTGAAATTAACAAACAGTATTTGTGGAACTGTGCAAAAAAAAGGACATTCAATTTGGGTACCATTGTTTCACTTCACCTTCAGGCTTACAGCAACACATGACAGCTCTACATCAGACCTCATCTATAAACACATAAAATAAACTTTCCAATGATATACGATGAGGATATGTACATTCAACTCCAAAAATATGACCCTTTTTTGAGAATTGCTGCTCACCTATATCATCCCTTGTATCTGTGACCATTGGACCACATCACACAACCACAACACAATTTGCCCCAACAAGTAGCCTCTGCTCAAGAGAACCACAGGACTGAAACAATAGTAGGGGTGTGCCTTGGAACCACAAAACCTACAATTCATACTGTATATTGCTCCTTTATCACACCCACAGGGTGTTCTCTTTAGCTCTGGGTAGCTACTGTATATTGCACTATTTTTAGAATTATCGGCAGCAACAGCCAGGAGAAAAACTGGAACTCCTATGGAAAAGCCCTATAGATTTTAATACTGATGACAACAACTGGATTCTATAGCGATCTAATAGGCTATCATTCTCTAGTTATTTCTTTTCCCAAGTTTTCTGAGCCATCCTACAGCAGGGAATATAATTTTTGATTAAACTCTATAGGACTTTTCTATAAAGGAAGGACACTCACAGGAAGTTGGGACACTGGAGGGATGAAGTCACAAATTTGGAATGTGTGCATCTGTTTATAACATAACCTTGCGAAAATGTTCAACTAGTCTAGAAAGAAGGGAAGGTACAATTACATTTGAAGCGAATGTCCTAATATTTACTGTGCCAGAAGCTGTCTGGTATTTGGCCAGATAAGAAAATGTAATATTAAAAGGCCTCAAATGAGGCCTATTGAGGGTTATACATCAGTAACTATTGAAGACATTTCAGTGCTTGAGAAACACAAAGCCTTCATTTATTTTATTTATTTATCAGGAAGCATTACCATCTTCCACACTTCAAAAGCCCTGGTTTTCATTAATTTTGTGAGCTCAAACAAACCTACCAGTGATAGAACATAGTGGATTAATCAATGAAATGAAAATATTCAAAAAATGTTATAGAAGAGAAAAAACTCTTAGTAGAGTAAACATTGTACCCAACAGTGACATTGGAAATCTGCACTATGTGGGGATGTGTTCAATTGCTAACAAGTATCCAAAGAGTTCCCATTAATCCTGTTTATTATGTTTATGGTTTAATCTAGTTTAAATCTGACTCTTACAGAGCATTGTGAAAGGTTTGCATAATGTTTATGTTCGGGGATAGAAAAACATTCTTAGAGGCTTCCCCAGCTACAGTAAACACGGCTGTGATGTAAGCCTTTATTTTGCTCATAGGGTTTCTCTTGTTTTGCCTTTGTAGATAATGGGATCCCAAGGTAACCTCTCCACTAAAATAGAAGAGCAAACAACAGAAAAAATCCGAGACATCACCAATAGCTTCCACAAGTACATGGAAAACGTAATGAAACAACTTTTGAACATGGTATATGACATCAAGCCTGAAATCCACCCAAACTACAGAGACACAGTTTAAATCCCATTGATGTGTGCATGTATCAACAGAAGGCACACTGTTTTCCTAGTAACCCAAATCATCTTCTCCTTTATGGGATTGTCTGTATGTGAAAGAGAAATACTAAGCCCAAAGCACACTGCCACACACAATGTTTTTGGGGGGATAAAATTCTACGAGGTTTCACAAGCATTTGGTGGAATGGATTTGTTTTTCCTATTGATAGCTATTACCCTGTCATTTAAATAGTAGAAAGCCGACAACAGCAGAATAAGTGATTATTTGACACTGACAGCTTTTTAGTGGGTGTCTTTATTTCTTTTCTTATATAAAATGTTCTGTACTACTTGGTGTGTTGCATGAAATCATTTGTCCCAATCTTTAGTACATTTAAAATGATCAGATATGTGATAATGTTTCATTTTACTTAAAATGAAAGAACTTCTCTCTTGTTTTGAGCAAATGGACTGTGTTGGTTATGGGGATTATAGGAGCAAACTCTTTCAGTTTCCTGTATGCATTTGCAATGACCTGTCTAGAATAATGAGACAGACAAGGTGGGTGACCAACACAACTACAACAACGCTACATGCAATAACATAGTTCATATTTCCACAGTGGTGGCTCTTCGTAATTTGTAAAGTGTAAATGCACAATATAGTTCTGGCTGATTTTATATATTTACCTGCCCATGCCACTCTCAAAGAATTGTCCTACTGTTAAATTGCACCATATACCCTACAGGTTTTACTTTAGGTCTGAAATCAATATAAATTATTTATACTAATAAAAGATATATATATATATATATCTTTTTGCTTAATGACAGATATTCTATTATGTATCTTGAGCTAAAGCTATTTCATTACTAGTATAAATCATATATATATATATAAATAAAAGGTAGGGCTGGTTTCTGCAATCCTTACATTGAATACTACCTAAATCCATGAGGAGTTTCATTCATTGAAGTCAAATTACTTAGGGCCAGATCCTGTTGCTTTTACATTGGGCCAGATTCTCCCATCTTTACTCACCTTGAGTAGTATGAGTCCTCAAATAGCTCCATTGATTTCGTGGAGTAGAGTACTACTCAAGAAGAGAATAGCCGAATCTGGCCCATCCTGATCCAGTCCCTTAGCAGTCATTGGGAAAACTCCCATTAACTTCAATTGGATTTTGATCAGGCCCTATGTCATAAGCCCAGCTGAAGGCTTGTTTTCATTAGAAAATTATGTCAAGTTAGATCATAACCTAAGGAATTGCAATAACTAGCAAAACAATTACCATGACTTTTTTAGCCTAATTAGACTGAAACAAGTTGTGTTCCACTTCATGTCAGTGGGTCATAGGCAAATCCTTCTTCCAGTTAGGTTTACCCAGGTGACATGGCATTAAACACAGCTTTTCTCTGTGCAGAGACACTGCACTGCCATAGTAAACTGTGTGTCAGTTAAGGCTGTGTCCTAATTCTATATAATCATCTAGTGAAAACAAGTGCTGATTATTTCATTTTCTGTGGTTGCGTATGCTCTGTGTATACAAGCATACTTCAGACATGAAAAATTATGTCTGTTCTGAATTCCAGACTAAGAGAATGCTGAGTATCAAGGAAAATGTTTTGTGGGTGGCTTCTTAGCAGTTGCTAACAGAGCACTTATTCTGCTGTTTCAAAATGAAAAGATACACTGATTTGCTAGTGGAATGAAGATATGGTGTGTGTTAAAACAATTCAGGGAGAATGGTATAAGACAATTTCTTGTAATGGTTGCAACTTAAAAGTGTGGAATAAAATAGTTTTCAGAAAGTTTTAAAGCTTTTCAGACAGAGGATTATCTTCTAATTTCAGTTACTCTGGTGTAATGCCAAAATAAGTACAGTGATTTTAGTGGAGGTCAGGTACTCCAAATGTACACTGGATTAACTGAACCTGGTGTACAATGTAGAGGATAACTAACTTAATTGTACAACTCTAGACCATAGGGGACATTTTTCCTCATCTCGAGTAGAGCCTGATCCAAAGCCCAGGGAAGTAAGTGGAAAGACTCCCCTTTATTTGAATCGGGTCCCTACAGATGGATTGCGAAGCATGTGGATAGATATTTTTGAGCATTTTAGTGATACTTTGTAAAGTGAACCTTCTCTTCAGGAAACAACAAGCACTGAACCTAAATGTTCCCTATTCAACTAAGCACATTGTCAACGAGGCACAAGTGCACATCACAGGAGTGAAGAAATAAATATATAAATAAATTGTAAGAGCCCCACAGCTGTGAATGTGGCAACAGTTCAGATTGCATCATGCATTCCCCCAAGAGACACTTTTGCACCTGTTTAGAGAAATCTATTAAAGTCTGCTCTGAGTGTCTAAGGGGACATGATTACAAAAGTAATAAAGATCAAGTGTTAGGTGCTGCCATATGGGAGGAGGATAAGTGTAAGTGATAAACAGTTTAGGTGGATTGAGTAGGCCTCGGAAGTATAGATGTATGGTGAGATGACCCAAGAGGTAAGCATGCATGAGTCCTGCAGATGTTTAGAGGAGGACATCAATGGCATAACAAAAAGCACATGTTCTCCTCATGCCCTGTCTCTCCCCCTCCTCCTGTGGCTGTGCTGATGTTCTGAAGAAAGGAGAAGAAACTATTTAAATTCATTGATACCTTTAAAAAAAAAGTCATTCAATTTTTCTCCAAATAAATTTTGTGATACTTATGTCCAGGTTCAGGATGTCAAATTTGGAACTTCTGCTACTGCTCTCCTGGGCCGCCACTCAACTCTCACTGACACTTGCCATTGTGTTCATGGTTTTTCCAGCTTCTTCTCTGGGGTGACCCATGGCTCTCCCCATTGGAACTATGTACCTTCTAAGCAAATACATGTAGCTTTTCAGTGTTATAGAGTCAGATACAGAATCCAAGGTGTCACAATGTTGTGTCCATTTCAAGCAAAATTGTGATACACACCTATTGTATGGAGGACAGTGGAAAATTGCCATAATTCTGTGGATGGCAACCTGGGAAACACAGCAGAAATAGTTGTTCAAATGGCCTGCAATCTGAAACACACCTCACTTCAAAAGCTCTGCACAATTCTGCTTCTGCTTATAACTCTGCTATCATTTCCTCTTACTCCTGCTCTTGCTGTACATGCTCAGTGCAAGTCTACCCTTCCCCCTACTTCTCCTTTCACTCAGTTTTGTTTCTTGTCCTTAAGCCACCCTTTATGTCCATATATGTTCTAAATGACCCACACACACACAGACTTACTTTATTCTAATCTCTACTTAAAACACACTTATTTTGTGAATCCAACATAGCCACAAATCACCATTCAAGTAAATAAAAAGGTTGTTACAAGGAGGAGGGAGAAGAATTGTTCTTCTTAACCTCTGAGGATAGGACAAGAAGCAATGGGCTTAAATTGCAGCAAGGGAAGTTTAGGTTGGACATTATGAAAAACTTCCTAACTGTCAGGGTGGTTAAGCAGTGGAATAAATTGCCTAGGGAGGTTGTGGAATCTCCATCACTGGAGATTTTTAAGAGCAGGTTGGACAAACACCTGTCAGGAATGGTCTAGATAATACTTAGTCCTGTCTTGAGGGTAGAGGACTGGACTGGATGACCTCTCAAGGTCCCTTCCAGTTTTATGATTCTATGATCTACTATAATCTTTGAACTTGGGCCTTCATTCTGCCAGGTAGTATATTTTGTGTCTATCCTGTATTGTCTGTCTTGCTTTAGGTCCAAATCCTTCTTGGGCTACTCAAGTAGTAGCAGAGATGTCTATGGGATTGTTTGTGTGAATAAACAATCCCATACAGTGCAATTCCCTTGGGACAAATCTCATGTCTTTCCCTGTGCATTGCATAGCACTGAACACACTGGCAGCACTCAGTAAGTGTGAGGCTTCCCATGTAAATGATACAGCCACACTGCTGCTCTTCTTTGCCCCAAGGGAGCACTGACACCGAATATGTTCTGTTAAGGTCTGCTGGACTCTGTCTTGAGATTGCACCTCCTCATTGCAATTCACAGGTTGTTCTCAAATTAAAAAAAAAGAAAAACAATAACAGCAGCTTTTTACTAAACAGTTTTACCTCTAAGAATTCTGCCCCTAAAGTCTCAAATTTGCTCTAGGGACACAGTGGGAGATTAGTCCCAGAGGCTTCAAATCAGGAAAGCAATGAATCAGTTGGGGCTTAAGCATGTGCTCAAAAGCTTTTGGAATAGGATTGCTTTCCTGGATCACCAAGAAGAACCATCTGTCACACAGAGAGATGAATTCACAATGAATAACTGTTTGACTCTTGAGAGATCTGAACCTTGGAAACTCATGTGCTTTCTCTGTAAATTTGCTCCAGTCCATGTTCACTGCAGGACATGGAAAGAACAGTTTTCCTCCCTCTGCTAGATGTACAGTTGTTGTATCCACCAGGCAAGGTATTAACAAACTTTAACAGAACTTTATTTACAGTGGAAATCTCTTTACCAAGCTGTAGCTGCACATTCTAACTCTACCAGCCTCCTCAACTCCTCCCCCTCCTTCCTGTTTCCTGTCCTTTCAGACTCCCAACAGCCAGCGCTCCCAGTTCTAATAATACAAGCAGCATCTAAACACCACAACAGTAAAAGCCAAATTAGCCTACTGTGATTTGTCAAGATATTATGCTTTGGTATTTTAAATGAACAGCATAAGGTTCAGGCTGCATAACCAGAATTCTGAAGGGCCAAGATACCGCCTTCTGAATTTTCAAGTACACACAAAATCTCCCATGGGACACAGAAATGTTAATGGTAAACACTCAGAAAGAGAATCACTTTCTCCTAAAACTGAGCAAGAAAAAGAAAACAGTATTGTCCCTAAAACTACCACACATTGTTTTGTTTCTCTGTTTCACCACAGAGCTCCTGCCTACTCCACCTCTTCCTCTTTGGCTTCTAAATAAATGTTTAAAGACAAAATGCATAGATCTTGTGGAAGTGATATGAGAACCAGTATGTGGACATAGAAGGCAGGCAAGGATTTAATACTACAGAATACATCATGAAATGTTTGATATTAAAAAGCACAAAAATCCAGCTTTTAATAATTACATTTCTAAAGCTGAGCAGATGAGGTATTTGCCCTGCAGAGAAAGGAGCGGTAAGGAAAAATATGCACCAATAGGTCTCCGACCTATTATTGGAATGTTGGTGTACTAATAATAATTTGGTGTATTGCTGAGCTGCATTGTATTAAAAAAAAAGTTTGCCCACTAAACAACAGTAGTATGTGAAGTGATTGTTCATTGGTGTTTAGCAGAGCAGGGAGTAAGAGTAAATAAACCAGGGATCTGCTCCAGTTTCTGCCATCGACTCAGTGTGTAGCCTTGGACAAGTCATTTGAACTCTGTGTCACAATATGCCTATCTGTTAAATGGGAATAATACCCCTCCATCATCGTAAAGCACTTCAAGATGCTCTAAAAAAATATTGGGCCCAATACTGCAAGTTGCTAAACACTC